GTGACTCTTTTTTTCTGGAATAATTCACCCTCTTGAGCATCATTGAGCAGTCAGTTAGCAGGAACATTTTAAACCATTCTCAGCCAAATTGCATGAGTGCCTGGCAGAGGCGGCCAGGGCCAGGCTGGGGCTGCCGCGGGGCCGGGGTGCCCGGGGCTCTCACTCCCAGCCCCGAGAAGCACGTTACAACTCGGGCCTTCTCGCAAGTTCCCTTCTGACGTGAACCTTTTCCAGGGATGCATCAGCATCTCCGATGCAGGGAAAAACGCCTTTTGCAAACGTCTGTGTGTGAGAGCAGCAGGGGAACTGCTGCACAAGAACTAGCCGATGCAGGCCAGATAAACAGTATCTCTGCCAAAATGCCCATATGTATATAATTAGCTTCACTTCAACTACACGACAACTTTGCTAGGTAGGATTTAGCTGTTGAAATGCTCAGGTTACCTAATATATAGTTATGGTTATTAGTTTTCTTTCCAGCTCAGAAAGCAGGTGATTTTACAGCAGTGTAATGTGATTAGGCTTAGTATTATTATATCTTGCTGAATATTATAATTTCATTATAAGCTCTAGTTGGACAGTTTTTAGCTTTAAATGACTCAACTGCATGTATTTTCAACTCCCTTCCTGAGACGCTCTCTGTCTATTTTTATTCAACAAATTTTTAGACCTTCATTCACAGATTACAGTTAATACAAATTTTAGTAATTATACTTGAAAAAGATAGATAGTCTTGCAATATAGAGTCTGAATTTTGATCAACAGACTCTAATCCATGCTGGAATAAAGATAACAAACAACCCGAAGTCTATGAACAAATGCACGGTGTGAACAAAGAGATTATCTGACAAACAAAATAATTCAAATTAATGGTTGTTATTTTCACAATAAGAAATTAAAAACTCTAAAAACAAAGGCCTCTTATCTGCTAGTTCTTGCCTTCTTGGGGAGAGGATATGGTAAACTCTACCATACCAGATTAAATAAAGGTAACTTTTTTGCATCTGATGTCAGTGTGATTTAGTTTAGGGAAGAAAACATGAAGAGAAGCAAATCCAAATGCTTTCCATATGTGTCTCTGCGCAGCTGGACAGATCCTCATTGCCACTGTTGGGCTAGAATGATTTTTATCATTCTCTTCACTACAGAGAATAGCGGATAGTCTCTTCACTAGTCTCTTTCACTAAAAAAATGTGTTCTAAGACAAAAAATAGTTTTCTTAACTCTCCTCCCTCCCAAATCACTGAGAACTCAACTGAAGTTATATAAATACTCTGGGTCCGTGCTCCCAAGCAGACTGGGAGCTGTTCCATAAGCAGATTTCTACAGGAGAATACCTAAGGAAGCTATTGCTAAATTAGTCCTAAAGACAGACTTTTCCATTACTACAAATGCAGTATTTTCAGTCTCATATAACTCCTGCCATTTAAACAGACATATGACAAACAAAGGGTGAAACAATGCAGCCATAATCAGAGCTTTTTCGAAAAATAACATTTCTGATCTACTGGAAAGTCTAACAGTTGTTTTAATCATGAGTTGAAAGCATAATTCACCATGAACTTGCCATAAGTTCTGTCCCTCTCACCAAATATTTTGATAATACAAATATATACAATGAAATAAATAAAATACATACGTAACTAAATGTGAACTCCTAAATTCAAGGAAAATATATCTCGCAATGAAATCAAAATATTTTGCTATTACAAAAATAGAACAAGCAAGTCAAATGATTTCTTTCTCCACTTTCTTATTCCTTAATATGACTGATTCTGTAGGAAAACTTTAGTTTTAGTTCAGCCAGCCCACCCTACTGGCAAGGATATGCAAGGAGACACATGCATGTGTGGGTACCGTGTCCCTCAACACAACCCCTAGTGCAACACACCCGGTTTCAATTTTGGTGGCAGCTGGCAAAGGCCGATGGTCCTGGAAACCAAACAGAAGTGGGATTTACTACTACAAATCACCAGCACTGGAAAGCAAAGTCACAGCAATGTTTGCTGATTTGAGAATAAAAGGTGCCAAAATGGTCTTGGTTATATCTACTTTTTCTTCCAAAGGGACATACAAAGATACAAATTTATACTACAGAGATTTTGTTTATTTTTAAGGCTGCTCACTTTGGCGAGAAAAGCAAGCCAGTGCCTTTTTGCGCACGTGGCTTTGAGTAACGAGGGCAAAATTTTCGTTTTTTTCTATTATCTTGCACAGAACATTACAGAAAACGTGGCTGGAAGAGCCATGACCTTGGGAAGTCATGGGGAGGCCAAGCGGTCACTGCTGCTGCCTGCCTGCTCCAGAGCCCCTACATCTTCACAGTCCCATTTTTCCACGTGTCTAACGTGAATCTTCCTCGCTGCAATTAAACAGATTGCTTCTTCACCATGGATACGGAGGGGAGATTAATACTGTTGCTTCTGCAGGAGCCTTGTATACTTGCAAATTGCGCTGAGCGTAATTGCTTCGCTTTCCCCAGAATTATTTCATTTTGGGAATTCTAACAAGACGTTCGTCTGCTGTAATTGTTTAGGAACTGCATAAACAGCAGCTTGGAAATAACACTAATACTTACTGAGGGGAATAGCCTGCCCTTTCGCTGTGTCAAAACACAAGGGTTCTCCACAAGCCAGCTGGACATGCTTAACACAGACCAGAAAGTCTGCATGAAAGCAGAGCAGATGCGACAAGATGTCTATTTACAGACTTGGTAAATAACTATGGACTTCCTGACACACAGTACCCTAACTCTTTCCTATGATGAAAAATACAGACCTACAAAGCACTTCATAGCGAATATAATATCCATGTTTTTGCGATCACACAGAAGCCATTAAGATACATTCAGGAGCCACGAGCTACTTCTGCAAGGCGCACGGTAGGCACACAGAAACTACAAGCAACATGGTGAGAAATTACTGCTCTGATTAAAACTCTGGGTTCTCACTTATCCAGCATGAATGCCAGCATGATTTAAGGTGCCTGCTGTACCCAGCAGATGCCTTAATTTCAGTAAGAGACTTCCCTATCCCCCAGGTCGACGGCCTTGCCCGACACGCGTGCGGGGAACAAGGGCTTTTGTGCATCACAGTTAAATGCTGAATTTCTCTCTGTGGGAATGTCTGGCTGCTCAGAGCCCGCGCGAGGCTCTGCTTTGGGCTCTGGCACAGAGGACATGCCCGCCCCATGCCAACGCCAGCACCCTGCCTCCTGGCTGAGCCGTCTCTCGCTGCTCTGCGTAACCCCACTGGCTTCTCGTCCTCTTGGCAGGACCTGAAAAGACAGGCAGCGATGCACAAATGCACAATTAAACATTACAGGCGTGCACTAATGCTTTGGTAACGTGCCCACGACCGCAGCTCTGCCAATTTGCAGATTATTGTAAGAATACCTCAAAATTGGCAGCAAGCGCCGTTCCCACCTGCTGTCTTTGTTGGGGATCAGTGTTTCTATCAGTCTCTCCACTTCAGGACACAATGTGCAGTGAAGCAGCACCTGCTGCTCTCCTGTCTCTGATGGGCACATGTAAAGGTTGGAGAGGAGATACAGGTGCTCAGAGCCTTCTTGCATCCCGCCTCAGCCAAATGGATCCGGACACAAACGCAAAGTTATCTCTGAACACAGATGTTTGGCTTTGCGGCCACTGCCTGACACCAGCACTTTATTTTCTTTATCGTGTGTGTTGAATTGAAAGCTTTTTTTAGGCCCTGACCTTGGCAGCAGTTGCTACTGCATTTCATCACAAAGATAGCAGAGAATAAGAAAAGACAAGAGAAAAAATAAAAAAGAATAGAAAAAGAAGAGGGACTGGTTGGCTTTTCATGATGCCCTTTGTAATGCTGAACATCTCAACTGAGGTCCCTCTAACACTTTCACTCTGTGTGAACTCTTCTGCTTTCTCCTAGGCATGTTTTACACAACTTCAGCATCCTTCTTTGAGGCAATTCAAAAACAGAAATGCTTTCCAATTGATAGAAATGACTGTTAAAAGGTTATTCTTCTGGATTTCCTTTAAAGAAATTGCTTACATTTTAGGTTCCTTTGTCATTAAAATTTTGCTTGGTGTATCAATTTATACTTCAGTTTATTTGGGTGATGAAGCTGCCTATAAAGACAACCTCTGAATTCTTGGGTTCTACTACTTCATATACAAATAGTCACGACCTTCCTTAGTTGATGCAGTTGAGGATTCCGTAAAAGATTTTGCTAATCTGTCTGTTATGAACAGATGCTGATGACTCAATGATTGTAACAGTGGGTACAGCAATTCCCTTAAAGGACTTCTCAGAGGTTAGTAAAATTACAAGTATTACTTGTTCTCTACTATCTCTCACTGTTGTGCTCGTATCTGTATACTACACTGACTGTTGGTGGTCTCTGCTTTTAACTCCTTCCTACAGCAATGTCATTTTCCCCCATGGCCCCTATTTCCTTTTTCAAGTTCTGTGCTACTGTCCTCGGCTGGGGGTTCATCTCCGTGAAAGCTCACAATGTCATCCATGACATCTTCCCTGCACATTCTCCACTCAATGAAACAAAACGTTTTATAACTTAAATAATATCCACCAGCCTTTTTTTTTTTTTTGGTATAAAAGACTGTTCAGACATGCTTCTACTTCAAAAAATTAAATGGAGATATTGAGCAGTAAAACAAATTTCTAGTCAGTATTTGCTGCAGAACAATGTCAATTAATGAACAAATGTAATGAGAAATCTAGTTTTTATACAAAAACTTTTGATACAAAATCTTGGTTGTCTGAGTGGCAACTTTCTTGACAAGAGAGAGCTATACGAAACTGAAATTCAGAATAATCAATTTAAGCAAATCTACATCTGTAAGTCAGAGATGGAGACTGTATGGGAGTCAGAAAATACCCTTCTATGTTTTTTATTATCAAGACATCTCTACGGTTGGTCCATCAGACCATGGAAATATTTCAAATGATGATATAACATAACCCAATAAAACTAAAAAGCACCTGACTTTATGTACTTACTCAAAAAACGTGGTCCATCCAGTCTCGTCGCTTTTGGTTGCCAGAAGTCCACTGTTGCCGTGGTAGGTAAACAGAACGAGCTCCTGCCCTTGGGCAGTCATGCTTTTCAAACATCCGTTAGTGCCTATCGTCAACCAGATGACCTGGTTATCGGGGGAGACCACCCTTACTGGCATCCTGTTGGGATCCCGCCGGATACGAAGCGTATTCCCATTGCTATCCGTTACTGCAGTAATATCATTGTCGTTGCTGTAGCTGAAGTTGTACAGATAATCTCCAGTGACTAAACTCACAGTGTACTGGTGAGTACCATTGACATCAAAGATATACAGCTCTTGATCAGTTGGGGAAGCGACTTCATAAAAGTTCACGGAGTTCAGCAAGGGTTTGTTCTTTGACACGGCCCGTATCCTAATGTTCCCCAGATCAGCAATGTACAGCGTGCCGTCAGGAGACACGGCTAGCGAGGAGGGCGCGTTCAGCTTGGCGTCCTTAGCGTAGCCATCTCCGTTCTGGTAGCAGTCGCAGTTGACATCGTTTTTGCAATCACATTCGGAAGGTATTCCGGCAACTAAGGATATCTCTCCGTCGGTTGTAACCTGCCTTATCCTATTAATCTTCTTTTCATCAGTCTCTGTAATGTAAAGCACCCCGCTGTAGGACACGGCAATGGCAGTTGCTGACTCTAATGTGGTCTGTACCGCGTGCTTTCCCACCGAGTACTCCACTCCAGGAACCTGGCAATGCATCGGCCTCCCAGCGGCGATGCGAACTTGGCGGTTTTCTGTGATCTGCAAAACTACGTTGTTATCCAAAACGTAAATGGAGTTATCCATGGGGTTGATAGCTAAATCTGTAGGCCACTCCAGACGTACCTTAGCAAAGAAAGGTGTTTTATCAAACAGTTAGCCAAGGCAGATTAAATTCAATTATTGAATCTACCTTCAGTTTAAGACTAATGCTTGAAGCGCTTTGAAACTATAATACAGGTCAGATTGCCCCTCCAATAAAAGCTACATCTTTATACGTAGCCAATACATAAATGAAAAGGAGACAGCTATAAAAAGCTACAGGCATACTCATAGCTAGTACTCTTGTTTTGTATTCTTGTATACCAAATAATGAAATTTACTGCCTTCCAGACTATGAAACACCGCACTGAACACACCACTAGTGATGATCCTTCCTAACTGCACAAATTTCTTGGAACAAATGAAAAAACAGGCTCTTTTATATATCGTCACATTCACCTTAATATGCTAAGGAAGTTAGTGGTTTAATTCATTCAGAAAACATCAACATGCCAATATTATCCCAACGTATTTTCTATTCTTCCAGTATTTACTGCTAGAATTAATGTCTCCTGCTGATAGCCTTGCTGTTCTAAACTAGACTGAACTTTATGGGCAGAAAAATTGAATACAGCAGCATTTATAGCTAAGAGAGTATAATGCAATTCATGCCCTTGGAATATAGGTCTTTGTTCCAAATTCTGCTGTTAAATATTCCTTACACATCCTTCGCCATTCTACTGTCAGGAGCAAGCAAACTGCATTTCCCAGCCCCAGCTCAGCTATCCAAATTAGCAGCAGTTAATAAGTACCTGGCTGATGTGCATGCTGGTATCACAGGTGAGCGGTCGTGCTGAGGTCAGGTCGTTGGAGCCAAGCAACGTGGATATTATTCCATTTTGATCTACTTTCCTGATCATGGTCCCATCCACAAAATAGATTAGCCCATTCTTGTCGATTGCTATTCCTTCAGCAGAGAGAATAAAAGCTAGTTTCTTGTACGAGCAGACAATGCATTATCCATAACCAACTGTCTGAGTTATATGTATGCAGTGAAAATTAAGGGCAGAAAATATATATAATCTACTACTGTTGATTGCATTTACTGCTCACTGGAGAGCAAGCATTTTAAGTTAAATTGAAAAATTGGCTAAGTAGGACCAAATACCACAACAACTTTAAACCTTCATTATAGCTGGCCAAAACCACAATCTAAGTGAGCATTTTAAGATGTTCAATAACCATAAAAGTCAAGTTTTTATATTTGTAAAATCAGCCTAGATCTCCTGTAACTCTTCCTCAAGGTTCTTTCCAGTGTGAAAGGATTACTCAAAAACAACTTAGCCATTGACTCCAAACTTTCATATTAAAGTTATGAAGGGATAACTCCTTTTACCTTTAGGGCTCATCAGAGTTGCCTCCACCGCCTTGCCTCCATCACCACATCTTGCCTCATCAAATGGCAGGCACTGCTCCCCAGTTCCTCCTATCACCTCGGCGTTTTTGGTCAGGTCTTTTGCACCCGTGAGTGACCTGGGCCGGTAAATCCTGCGCGTGTTGGTGTCGGACACGTACAAATCTCCGGTGACGGGGTCTGTTGCGAGGTAGTATCTGTGAGCTGGGTTGCTGCTGTAAAAAAGAAATAAGTATGCTCTAATTAGCTGCACCTCACACTGGGCCCAGAAAGCAAGGTTTCAGCTCGCACGTGGTGTCTAGTAATGTACAAATAGTTAAAAAATACACCAATGTTGTAGGCACGTGCAGTCTAAGTTGCAGCCCCCAGGCAGACTTTCGGCAGAGTTGGTAAAACCACTCTGGCTGAACCACCTCGAGCTGCTACAAGGAAGGAACCTGATGGTGTGAGGAAGGCAGCAGCAGCTGCTGCTGGGATGAGGAAGAGGAAGGAGAAGAGTCCTCCCTGGAGGCAGACCCCCTTACTCTTCCCATGCCCCTTTCACGGCAGGAGAAGCAGTGAACCCACCACCACGTTGACCTCTGCGGCTCTCCGCTCCAGTCCAAGCCTTCCTCCGTTCTCATCTCTCCTATGTCCTGTGCCAAAGGCAGTCCAGTCTAGCATCCTCATTCTTTTGGGGCAGAAATTTCAATTTTGTCTGTAATGCTCCTTCTGTGCTGCATATTTAAAGCCAGTTCCTATCTCGGTATCAGACCAAATCAAACAGTGGAGTCTAAAAACTCCCAGGCTTTCTTAGTCTTTGAAACCTCGGTTTAATTCCCAACTTTGCAGCATGACCCCAGCCCTAGCTTACACTTAGTTGCTGTTATCATCCCATCCATTTTATTCTAATTTATATAAGGCTGCTGGGGTGCATGGCTTATATAATTCCTAAACAGATAAGGCAGAGTTCATATTATTAGTTCGTGGGCAAGAGATAAAGACATCCTTCCTAAGCATTTGTTTAATCCTTTGCTTTCACAGACGTGATGTGCATGATTTAACGCATTAGGGAACGGCATCTTTTTCTCCCGAATGCTGAAAGGAGCTTTTCCTTTCTTCTTAACGCAGAGTCATATTTCAAATTACTGTACACATTGGCACAAAACCACTAACTATGCCAACACAGTCTTTATTACAGTGAAAACATATATTGCTAACCATTTTCTCAGAAACATACATTTTGCCTCTCCGCTGGTGCCACATAATTGAGAATTACTGTCTTTTCTCCCCTGCTGGTGGAAAAAACAACCCTGGAGAGTACCTTTTGGGCTGATATATTATGGTGCAGAAACTTAACCCACTGCAGTTAGGATTCCTGACCTAATTTATGGCATGAAGAGCTGAAATGAGGTCATGTAAGTACAGGAGGTAATTTCAGATGCTCTCCTAATGGATTGAATCAGAGTGTCAGAACAGTCAGTCCCATTTCTGACGTTTGCAAAGGCGCTGCTTAAACACAGCTCCCAAGCTTGGTGATATCCAAACATCTGCTCGCAGGCTGCTGCACTTCACATTCTGCAAACATATCTCTGTGCTAATATAACACATTTTTATGTACCACCACTTGCAAAAAGCAGCAAGAGACCAACAGGAACAAGTTGTGAACGAATTATGTCTTTAAGCAGGGACAGATTTTTATAGCCATCCAGTTACAATAATACAGAAAAAATGTGTTGCCTAAGTAAGATTTTCTTCGGTTATAAGACTTTTAACGTGTTGGTTCAGAACAAAGAAATCCAGCGAAGCAGACTAATGAAATCACATACACAGTGATTAGCACCTCTTAAAAAGCTCTGCTATAGGGCTGAATGCCACGCAGCATGTCTGAAAACAATTAAATTCAGGCATACTTTAAATTTCTGTCTGTTAGAAATCTATTACTGGCAAAGTGCTAAATAGTTTAAAGATATTTTCAAAACCTCCATTTATGCAGAGATCACTTATATGATCACTATGTAGTGTACAAATTATTTATACCTCCATAGACTGCAAATTAAATTGTACCCATTTACATGATTACTTTGGTCTTTAAGAAACGCTGCAGACATTTCAAATATAAACACATTGCAAAATGTGAAATACACAATTAAATTTTATTTCACTACAATTTAAAATAAAGTCCTTCCTTGTACTGCTGAATTAAAGCACTTCTCAACAACTCATTTAATATCACTTGAATCATAATTTTAATTGTTGGAATAAGACTCATCAAATAATAAACTAAATAATTTATGTCTAACAATTATTTCTCTTTAAAAAAAAATCAGGGCATTTTCTTCATAAACAAATAGGAAAACTCTGTTTTTTTAATTAGTTCTAATAAAAATGGTGCATCTCCTCTAACCCAGGGTGAATTTTAGCAGTAATGTGTCCTCATCAAAACAAAAATGTTGGTGACAATTTAAGGATATTTTTTTTCCTTTTGACCAAAGAGTAAAATTTGGAGATTGCTTAGAAATATTGCTGTCGTGTCAACAAAAACTCTCCAGACTCTCATATGGAGCAGCCAAACGGCTCCTGAGACCGCACAGCAGTGTTGCCTTTCGAGAGAAGGTATCAAAGCTGAGGTTATCAGAAGCCAGCAGAGACCACCAGCAGTTAGTTCAGAGGAGCAGGGTCCAGTTTGGGAACTGCTTAGCGAAACCCACGGCTGCTTCCAAGGCAGACAGCACCAATGCAGACCTCGACATGCGCCTGGAGCGCAGAGCAGAGACCATTCGGTTTCACCACAGCTTGAAATGATGCTAAGGTCCTGTCTTCGACCATCTCCAACAAAAGCAAAGGAATAAACTCCACATTTCAACTTGCTCGTTATCATCTAATTGCTGGAGCTAGCTCTGTAAAACATGTTGTCCTATTCCAATATGGACTATTATACAAGACAAGTAACTATGAATTAGCTTATTCTATCCAGCCTTAAAAGCAGCGTTTAGAATTTAAACTGCACACACACACACACACACACACACACACGTGTGTACCTAACTAGCACAGGCCTCTTGAACAATGAGAATTAGCAAACCTTTTCCTGTTGTTGCTGATTTTCTTAGCATAAGATTGTAATGAAAAGTGTTGGAAAAGCTTACTCGTAAGTGCTGCCTACTATTTGGTTTTGTGGCTGTAATGATTCCTTTCTCACTGCTTTTAATTTGCCTATGACACTCTTAATTCTCAACTGTTAGATCCCCTTCATAACTCTCCATGCAGAATCAAATCATTTATATTCTTCTAACTACAGCCCTTATCTATATTATCTCTCCCATTCACGGTGTGCCTTCTAAACCATATGCCCTCAAAGCTGTCTTGCCTTTTACTAAACTTTCCCCTGGCTCCCTGCAGACTCAGAATATCACCATGGCCTACAAACGACCTCCCTGTCTTCAAAGTCCTTCTAAAAATTACTTCTTCCATGAATGCCCATCAGCATTAATCACTCACAGGCAGCAGTGTGTATGAAGACACCAGCTCAGCTTTGAGTCTTACAAAATGCTAGGTCACTGAGAATATTAGAGAATAAATTTGATCTGCGTTGCCTCCTTAATTTAGAGCTCAGGCTCCTTGAGAGGGGATGGGCAGACATCGCTCTGCATTGAAGCACTGTGTTTACAAGCAAAGAAAGTTGAACGCTTGGAGTTGAATGTTCTTCATGACTCTTACTTGGTGAATGCCCATCTTGGTGCGTTTTTCTTAGTTTCAATGCTTAGCACTTATGTGTTGCAAGGGTTGTTTTCTAAATCCTAGTTTAAATAGAAATCTCCCCCACAATTCTAAGATTTTGTGAAACTGCACAATGTTGTCCTCTTTCTCCTTCAAGCCAAACAGATGTGCTCCTCCTTTCTCTGCAACACACAAGGCTCTGCACAAGCTAACCCAGACAAGGGAAGCCTCAAGGTGTCCCTAAACAGTGGGGCCCTCAGCCACTGGCTTCAGCGGATCCTGAAGGTTCACATGGGTTAAAAAAACAATCAGATAAATCCACAGAACCAAAGGCTGTCAAGGATTATTAAACTTCAAGATACTACTCTTGGCTTAGGAAGTCCCTGTGCAGCGAGGGACCTCTCTGAGCCCGCGAGTGCGCACAGGGAAAATGTCACAGATAATTACAGGCACCGTACAGCCTTCCATCTGCTGCTGCGCCACGCGGGAGACGAGACACCGGGCCAGCCGCACGTTTGGTCTAATCCAGTGTGCGCCTGCTGCTCTGTGCTTCGAGACCAGGACCTCTACCTAAATTCTAGTGCTTTTGGACTTGGGGCTCATTAGCTCTACTGTTTTTTCACCCGTTATTGGTATACGGGGTCCTGACGGGGAGGCCCTCACTCGAGGGCCGCTCTGCAGGGCGGTGCAGGCGCTGGTACAGCAATCAGCACAGGGCAGCTGCGGCACCTCCACGACCGAGCTGCTCGTCTGCGGACACGAGCGAAGCTTCCGTGTTCTCCCTCCCAAACACCCCTTACCAGCACGGGGCTTGTTCCTGGAATGCCACAGTTGTGCTTCGAGCCACCTTTCTGCCAGAAACAGGAGAGGGTGCCGCGACTAAATGACAGAAAACAAACCTTGCTACGTGTCAGCCCCTTAATCCCACTTGTCCATTCCAAATTCCCGTTTTGAGTATCCATATTTCACATGTTTGGCAAGACATCTTCCCTAGTTATAATTGCAGCTCGGCCCCACCACAAAGGTGGTAATTCTTCCAAAAGTGATGGAGCGGATGCAACCCACCGCTGCTAAGGCAAAGAGGCCGCCTCTGAATCACACCTGCAGAAGAGCATGAGCCACCCAGACTGCACAGCAGCTCCCACAGCTCCCATTCTCATCACTAGCACTGATGCAAACACCTTCCTTAGTCACGGAACTTTTTTCCCCAACATGTTTGAAACACTTCTTAAACATAAAAGGTTTCCTCACAAAGACATATGGCCAAAAGCTAAGTGATTAAAAAAAATAATAACAGGCAAAAGGAAAGCTGAGATACTACTCTGTGGGATTTGTTTTAAAAAAAGAAGAAAAAAATAGGCTGGCAGCAAAAGAGGAGAGAAGGAGGGTTGCTGAGCCTTATGTATTTAGCAGGTCTGTCGCAAAATCTTGCAGGGTTTCATGTATCCAACAAGATTTTAGCATACCAGCTCTGGTTTTGTCTCCTTACCAGCAAGGCTGTTGTGGCAAAACAAGTCTAAGCATCCATCTTTCCCTCTGCTCCTGCCTAGGCCAGGATGCACAAATGTTGTACCACATCCTTCTGACTATTATTTATTAGATAAGTCTTAACTCCTGGAGTCATGCTGTTGTGCAACAATTTTAGCTTTCATTCTTAAGAGAGGGTCTTGTGCCTTGGATGAAGAAATCTTTCAAATGTGAGCTTGAAAAGACTCAACATCAAGAAGCTAATAACATGAACTCACTTTATACTTCTGTAATTTTATTAGCTATATGCCATTCCCATGGGACTTGGGGGGATCTGATTAATGAGTTTTGATAGGATCAGCAAAAGTGCTGCCAGCAGAGCCAAAGGGCCAGCAGAGGAGGGCACACAGCAGGGCAGAAGAGGAGCACTGGCTGCGGACAGAGAGTGATGAGAAAATATGAACTCGTATCTGGCAGGAGGATGCAACCTGACAGCTGACATAACTAAAACATATGAACTCATTATTTTTGAAAAATACTTCCCTTTTCTAATAATACATCTCAGAAATGACTAGTCCATTATAAGCATTCAGTTGTTTAAAAAAAAAAGAACAGTTAGAGAAATATAAATCTTCTTTAAGAAATGCTTACCTATGTCTAAAATCTTTATTTCTTGGTGGGAGCAAGTAAAAAAGAACAGAAAAACATTATTAGAAAAATATTCAGAATATTTCATCGTATTTAAAGATGAAAAGGTGGCAACATTTAAATTCATCATTAGCAATGCGATGAATCTCCAATTTCTGTCTAGTCATGTTGACTACATAAGTTAACTCAGTAAATCCACAGAATAATTACTTTGGATAGATTAGATTTTCAGTTTAGATTTACATAATTAAAATATTTTACCACAGTGAAGCTTTCTCACTTCACTTCTAAACACTATTTCAAAGGTATCAAAATCTTTTGAAATAAATTTCTTGTTTCCAAACGCATTTGGAAACTCTGCCTTGCACAGTGCCAGAAATCTATTCCACACTTTAGCTCCCAACAGTAATTCACAACTTGAAAGCTGGAGATGAGAAAAAAAAAACATACCTGAGTTCCAAAACACTCGTTACATTTCCCGATGGAAATATCCGCCGAACATAGTTGAAATCCCCCACGTAGAGACTGCCATCTATCCCACAGGCCAGGGCAACGGGAGCCAGCAATTTATTGCCATCCGCTTGGCCATTACAGCTCGGGCAGGAGATGCTGCGTCTTCTTCCATTGCCCATAATGCTACTAACAACTGGGGGTTGCTGAGATATAAATTGATTTTCACCGTTTCCTTTGTATAGGATTCCTGGTAGATAATGTAAAAAACACGAAATCCAGAACAGTTAATAGAAGCTTTTGAGTGCCTGTGTATATGATGGTGTGGAAGTATTACAAATATTCAATTTAATTTGATTAATATAACTTAACAGGCATTTAATTTTGTTGCAGCAATATATTTTCCCTGTTAAAATCGACAGAATTTTATTCAAACATTAATAGTTATACTTAGGTCAAAAATACACTAAAAATACATCTGAAACATTAAATTGTCTTGTTCACAGAATGTACAAGAAACACTAAATATACTAGAATTATAGAACCCAAGCAAATTTGCAATTATTCTTTTTGAAAAAATGTTAATAGATTTAAAAATTTATAAATCAGTATAAAAATGTTCATATTTAAGGCAATGCAGGGCCTGCTTAATAAAAACAAGCCCTGTGTTCCTAATTCCTTTTGGGGTTCCTCCTAAACCAAAATGGAAATTCTAACTGCGCATATACTATTAAAATAATGCTAATTTTATTTCTCAAGTCCTACTCCACTTAATTATGATATGATGTCAGATCTAAAGTGGATTACTGCTGCAAATTGTAAATATTAATTAAAGAGCCAGTTGAAAAAAAGTTGGCGATTGCCTCAGTTGTACATCATAAAAGGCTCTTTACTCAGCTAACAATAAAAATGTACCTCTGGCAACAAAGTCTGCCTCAATACCATGTCTGCAGTTATAGGCAGTTATTAAAAATGTCAAAACAACAAAAAAAATGTGGTGCCAAGCCAACCTGCCTCTTAAACTTAATTCTGCTCTGAGGCATGAAAGGAACAATAATTCTGTAAAGACAAAGCAATGTGCCAGCAGTATTTTTTCTTCCTTATGGCCTCAACAGGAAATCCGAAAAGAAAAATGCATGCTTTATGTGAAACTTGCAGTCCTAGAAAAAGAATGTCCGCATTTACAGGGTATTAAAGGTTGCCTGGACCCTCATTATTACATATCTCAATGAATCCATCAAGGTGTCCCCGATGAATAGGCAGGCATTATGGCTGTAATCCAGTGTCAAAACACATTTTTATGTGGTGGAATCCATGTAAACCACATGTCACTTTGCACTTTAACAGGGATATATGCTTTATAGATAGCACATATAGAGTTTCCAAGGCAGTTTTGGGGGGACTGAGGTGTACATTCCTTTTTTCAGATGCCTTCAAAAAATCAACACTTTAAAAATACATTTAGGAAAATACATTTAAAGGAATACATTTAAAATGTATTCCTTTTCCCCCGAATTTGCTCTTTGTGCTGCAGGATATAAGTAAGTAAATCATTTTTTTCCTCTTAGAGATGTGATATTCTTAGTGTGATAAAATCTGGGAGATATAAATACAAAACAAATATAAGTGATAAAACCAGGAAAAATGAAAATTGCTTATGGCAACTTAAAGACAAGTAATCTAAATGTTATTGAAATAAAACAAGTAGAAGGCACTTTTTGTGACTAGTCAAAGCCAGAACACAGTAACCATATACAAAATCCCCTCTCTGTGATGACATCACTTAGGACAATCACGGAACCATAATTTTGCCTGAAACAGCCGAGCTCTATAATTTCCATCAGAGGAATCCTCCAAGTCAGCACAACGCGCTGCTGCACCTGATTTATTCTGTCGTTACTTTGAGAAATGGGTCCTGCGCGTTTCCCCTCCGTTACTGCGGGCCGCGGGGATGTACGTGGGACTCTTCGCTGCCGCAGCAGCCCGGGGTGCCCGCACAGGCCCCTGCTCTCCCCCGAACACCTTCCCCTCTCCTCCCCCTTGTTGCCAGCACTCTCCACTTCGTTTATTCAGTGAGACACGCGCCGCTCTGCAAAGCCATCACGTGTCAAAGGCACTCTTGTACATAATTTATAGCCCCCATCGATTCACCTTGCAGACAGAGGCAGCCTTGAATTGCGACCCTTTCCGTTTGCGGATGCGCTGCCCCACGCGACTTTGCCCACATATTCTTTGCAATTTAAATTAGGGGCAAGGAAGCCTCTTCCCATTTTGGGGGTTGCGTTGCTTATCTGGCAGTTGGGAGCAATGCTTTAGGTGATGACGAGCACGTCACACAACTAAGGTGGTGGGAACCCCTCCAGGCACAGAGGGTACCACAGCAGTGACCATCTCCCTGAGCTCCCCCTTGGCCTAAAAATCCCACGTCACCAACTCCCACCTGCCTCTGTGCATATTTCATGCGCATATTTCCTTGTGCTTATTTCATCTTCTTTTTACACTTGCAGCCCAATTTTTCCCAATGGCCCCTCCAGCTGGGGACTTGCCCCTGGGTGCCAGCGGGCAGCGCACCAGGCAGGTTTGCCTTGGTGCTTGGGCACATCCTCCACTCTGCCTCTCTCAGCTGCAATTAGTGAGGAGTCACTGCTGCCCCGATGGCTTCACTGAGCAGCACAGCCCCTGAGGACCCTGCTTTTTCTTGCCATTTAAATTTCTCCCATCGTGAAAACTTAAAGTGCAAATATCGTTCAACACATTGCTAATGTACAACCAGTTAATGCCAAAAAACAATGCTGACATTTACAATTTCCCTAAAAATAACTTGTCCTTAGCATCACTCACTTTTTGAAAACAATTCAGTGTTTGTTCTTTTTTTTGTTTGGTAAACATATTCCTCCCAGAATGACCCAGAGGTTTTACTGTAAGATATTTGCTAGGTGAAATTATTAATGCATATGTATTTTGAGGAGGAAGAAACATGACATATGCTGTAAAACTCAAAGCATTTACCATATGCAAAACATTCTATAATTTTTTTTTAATAACAAAGCAAACATTTGAAAAAATAGAAGGATGTGCTTAAAGTGTAGTGCAACTTAGGATTGAAATCAGCAACAAGGAAGCAAACTCCTCACCATTCTGCACATCCAATACGTGATGTTTATCCAATGTCCAGCCACCCATGTTCGAGGCATCCAGCTCATAGCCTTGCAGAATGGCAGTCCGCTTTTCCCAAAGAGTCAGATCCAAGCAAGACTCATATTCATAACCTACAGACACTGAAACGACAATAAATTTCCTAATTAAACAAGGAATTTTGTTCAGAAGAATAGTTTTAAAATTGTTGTTATTTGTCTGTACAGCATATGTTCTTCGTCTCTCAGTAAAAATCCCCAAGACTACCTTAGATGCATTCAAAACACCAAACAAAATTCCAAAATATTTTAGAAAGCAACCCGAGATTACCAAAATAATTTTAGTTATTAACAGTAAATGGATTAGGACAGGTAAAGAAAAAAGTTGAAACCTGTTGAGGTCTAACGCACACGCAGTGCTCAGACCAAGTGCTCCACTGTATTATTATGCTGAGGGTTCCTCCCAGGCTAAGAACTCCAAGAGCAAAACGACTGCAGTCTCCTTTTCCTTTTGAAGTGTGCTCTTCTTACAACTCGGAGTTTAGATTAATATTATTGAATATATTTTACTATGTATCTTTATTTCCCATCTTGTCCTGATAAGTATCTTCTAATTAATGCATATAGGCATTTGAGATGTAATTCCCTTTATTTCAAGACAACAGTGAACACGAAAATACTCTCCACAACACACATACCAACAGCTTCAGATAATCCATAGACCCTCTGGTTGTATGCATCCGTTTTATCCCATATGAAAGTGTATGCCAGGTTTGGGGACGCAGGGAACCATTTTTGGAAAAGTCTTCCCACCACTGCCACCATAAGGTGAACCTTCATTAAATTAAAGGGTATAACGGATTGGGTCATTGTGATCTTCAGAACAGATTTGTATCCTGCAGCCCTGGAGCTCAAGTACGATAACTTCAGATCAGTTCCTGGGATTGTAGTCTCTTCATGAAGCACCTACGCATTGGGAAGGAAAATTACAATCTTTGAATGATTTGGAAATTAAAGAGAACAATGTAGTTACTGTAAAAGGATGCCTATGGTTTTACTACATTATAATCCATTATGAAGCAGCATCAAAATCTGTCTTTCGTTTAACATTTAAAGGAAAAATAAATTGGTAACAGTAGCTCACATTTTTCTGAAAAGTTTAAAGTTTTTTTTTCGTATTGTGGCTGTTTAGTTACTTGCTACTGAAAGATTTCAAAGATCCTTCTTGTATTTTAGGGAAGGAAATGTGAAGGAAGCGTGGAGAGGAGGGTCGGAAAAGCACCACTCATCTACCTACGTGCAACAGCCCCTTCTCATGCAGCCACTTCTAGCCTGGCTACGGGCAGGTAATAAAAGCAGCAGAGCCCCTGCGCGCTGCAGAGCCTCCAGATTTGGGCTAGGATCTCTAATTGCTCCTGCAGTTCAAATGATAATAGTATAACACAGGAAGGACTTTTAGCTGGTTCATTATTTGCATTGCCTGTGGACCGTAAATACTTTAAACTGGAGCATTCTCCCATTTATTTCAAAGAGAGGTAAGTAGATGCCTCAGGGAAAGCTTTTCCATATTTCCTGATCAATATTCACTACTCAGACATCAGCTCACCACTTTCTCATTTCAGAGAGGTGCAATGATTCAATTTTATTTTTAAATAGTTCCTCTCCCCGCTTCCCCACCCTTGTCTTTCCCTGTGAGCTGAGAAGCTTTTGTAGATGATGGATGGATGTGAAAAGTTCTTGTACTATGTGGATGAAGACAACTTATTATCCTATACTTCAGCCAGGACATGTGACTGCATTAAAATCAGGTCCCTAAATACTGAAAGTTAGTACATCAAGCCAAGAGCTACCACACATCTCTAAACAAGCAAACAAATAAACAAACAGGTATCTAGACATTTTTGTAAACCCGTTATTTCTCTGAAGGGGGCACAGGGCAAAGGACTCTTTGTCCCTAGCCCAGAGCCTTGGTGGTGTCAGAGCAGCAGTTTCAGGGAGGTAAATTTGGAAACATTTATTTTATCTCCCTATTCCTATGTCCTGAAGACCGTTCAGGTCAAACATTACCTAGGCTCTTAGCGGAAAGCATGCTTCAGGGAGAACACTATCTCAAATATCCCCAACATCAGGCTCAAGACTTCAGCACGTATCAAAGGTGCTAAGTTAGCTCAGGATTTGTCTATGCTGGGGAAATCTTTGGAGACTGCTTTGAAACAATTTACTGTTCATGTTGAATAGGGTTAAATAACATGGTTTACACTGTTGAGGATGGCAGCAGACACAATGCTGTATGTTAGCACTATTACTGGTATATAAAGGAAGAAATATATACTACTAATGTCTGTCTCTTTTCTAATTAAAAATAAATCATCATTTGGCTCGTTGTATGTCACAAACAATCATTTACATCTATTATATGCAGGCAGCGAAACTATAATACAGCTTTAAGAACTAAAGGAGGAAATTCTTCCTCATGACATCCATTGGACTCTTGCACACTGCATCTAAAAGTCTGCTGTAAGCAACTGCAGAAACAAAGAGAAATCATACGCTCATAGCAGGACACAAAGTAATGGAGCTCCCTGGTCTCCTGTTA